CATATGAAATTACACCACGGGTAATATTCTTGGTGCGGCTATTATTTTTGCACTCCATAACATCACAATAATTAATTTTTCACGAAGGAATTGTCACAAGCATACATAACACACACAGCGGAACTACACCTACAGATGGCTCGCGTACTATGCTAACTACCACTTCTACTGTATATATTGTTCTGTGTGCATGATATTCATAGTAACTGATTACACAGTCGAGTTTCATCGCGAGTCAACTTGCACAAGACGCGACGGGTATTATATCTATTTCATAGACTACACCCCCTTGTCGACATAGCACTTGACTCACGAAGTGCCTCGGGACATGATGGCCGTGGGAATGTTTACTCAGCGCTACAAAAGAGGCTGCTGTTTATTCCCAGTGTAAAGTGGTGCAGTATATTAAACTGTTCTTGTTTTAAGAGGGTTAATTAATTTAAATTTATGCGTTGTTGGATATAAAATCATCTAAAATATTTTATATTTCTATATCATTGTATCTACATCTTAGAAATTTGTAAATTTGTTGAAACACCCAGATTGTTTAAATTAATGGAATGACGATAGCCCTAAATATGTATTACGAAATAAAAATAAATTAGTAATGCCTACATCCCGACTCAAACTACACTCATCGAGCACACTTAGCGATGGCCGTATAAATACAGAATAAACTGCCAGAACACTTTATTAAGAGACACTGTTAAAGTTGTATATTTTAATAATTAATTCAAAGAGCTACTAAATAAGAAAGCATGTAGTATGCTTCTGTGGTTAACGAATATTTACGTTAACATATTATACTTATAATTGTAAATTACATTAAGAAACCCATTTTTAAGTACAAATAAAAATAATAAATACATAGTATTAAATATATCAGTGAATAAATACATGTGTAATTAAATAGAATGTCAAATTATATGTTATTGAAAAGATTTCACTACAATGTAAATGTAATAGATAATCACTAGGCAATGTAGAAGTTTGTTAAAGCTACAAGCTCTCTTATTTACCGATTATGTGAATATATAATAACGACTAACAATTATTGTCATGCCCTACTGAAACTATAAATGTATTTATCTATTTTTGCTGCCAAGCAGTAAAGGTGTAAACGCGCTGGTGGTTACGGGCACATGGGACTTGTCTACTTATCTCTCAAAGTGACAGGCGCAGCGTCTCTCAGATTTTTACAATTTAAAGGTCTGAGTGACACTGCAAATGCTATGGACTGGCGTGTCCCTTAACACCAGGCACTCGATTTGTTCGTCGTCCAGTCACTTGGCATCGTAAAAAAAAATTTCTACTTATACGAGTGAAAGTTACAATTGCTCTTAATAGATTTTTGTTATAAAAAACGAAAGTGAATCTTATACCGCTGCTATATGGTTGACATATTATGATGAACCTGAATAGGCGGTAATCGTTTGTCGTCTTTCAACTATGGTCGCTAGATTTGAATAAAATTGAATAAAACTTCAATATAAAATAAAATCGTCGCAATTGCAATAAAGGTGTTGAACTTTCAACCATATGCCGACAGGGTGAAGTTTAAATTATATTAGCAGTCTAGAATTTGTTACGTCTTTTTAAATTAGAAACTACGACCAATCACTATCTAGATTTCATAGTGTTTATCATTATGATAGTGAGTTCGAGACTCAAGGCCTTTCTATTGTTTTTTTTTTCATTGATTTTACTCTTATGTTAGTGACAAAGATTCTCTGCTCCCTAGTGTATTTTCCAGCAACTGTACACTACTTTTCGTTGTTCTTAGAATTCCGTTGAACAAGAACGTATACGTGAGAACACACAAGTAGTTTCCGACTTTAACTACAATAGGTTAAGGGATAAACCTTTCTTCGTGATCACTCTCAAAAGAAACGGTTACATTCAATGCAATGTCTTTTTTTCCAGGTGATGATGGCCCTGGCCTCCCACTTACAATCAGTGGAGGCAGAGAAACAGAAACTTAGAACGCAAGTGCGACGGCTCTGTCAGGAGAACGCCTGGCTTCGCGACGAACTGGCGGCAGCGCAACAACGGCTCCAAGCCTCGGAACAGAGAGTCGCTCAGTTGGAAGAGGAAAACAAACATCTCGACTTTATGGCCTCTATCAGGTGAACATAATTTTTTTTTTTCCCTATTAGGAACAATTCCAATACATCTTTGAGCTCCCCCTTTTCTTACCGAAGGCAGCTCGAAAAATGACACGTGTACTCTGATATCTTGAAACTCTCCATCACATTGTATCATTTTATGTCGAAAATTCATTCGACATTTCGTTTTTGAACTTGTGACATTTTATACTATTATATATTATTCTTTTATTTAATCCTTTATAGTACAGGACACACACATTTGACATTTAACAATGGAGTGCTTATTTATTAAAGACTTTTTTTCTGCAGACCTAAGTATAATAAGACACATTAACTAATAATTCTTTACAAGTTACATGGTTATATAACAGGTGTTCTTGTGCTAATGGTACTTGACAATATAACACCCCGTGGGGGCACTGCAACTTTCTGGGAACACTATGTCCTTACTTTACTAACTACATTATTAAAATAAAATTAAGCATAATTAGTAATAAAACTCTACATTATTGAAATAAAATTAGGAATAACATTGACCTACCAATAAATGGAAGTCGGGTTCGCGCTAAAAAGTGTCCGCACCTATAGGGCGTTAAAATCGCATGCAGAGCGTCAATCGCGCAACAATCTTTGTTTGTTCGACTGACAGCGCCGGTGGTCAATCATGCAGTGTCATATAATAATGAGTTGTAAAAATTATACAGCACTAGTGTAAAAACAGGATTTTGGATCATATTTTCACTAAACAAATATATTATGACCTGTAAAGGGCTCGAAACGTCGGTTTGTTTGAAAAAACAAATATACGCGATTGAAATCTGGAAAAATAGTTTCATTTCCTATGTGTAACAATCGCGAAAACCTAAGAACTCGATAAATATATTATGTTATCATAGTTTTCATTTAAAAGTGTTATTTTGTACAGTTTTATAGTATTTATTTTATATATAAATGAATCGTAAATATAAATTACAAAAGCACACAAAATAATCAAATAGCTAACTGTCCTTTTTCTACACATTGCATGCGCAGAAGATGGAAAGAGACCCATTACGTCAATTTCAAGAAGCTTATATAAACTTCTGAGTCATTTTCAATTGTTCGAACCACGAGCGATTGAAATATTTAGAACAAAGAAACTATAAAGTCGCTTTGATTTTCATCTTATTTTTAAAATTATTTTTTATTAAATATTATTGTACTCGTTTTACGGCTTGGGATTATCTATCAGAAGTCAGAAAATACATTTGCCCGAAATAACGTTAGCTCGAATTTTCATAAAGTCAAATGTAAAACAAAAGCAAATTTTTTCTTTGTGAAAAGCATCAAAATTACTCGAAAGCGTAACGGCTTTATTATAAACCGGTTTTCTGAATTACGAATATTTGAGTTTGCGTTTGGTTGGAATATCGGTACATTTCTTATAGTACACGCTTATTTTCACATTTGTAGTAATATTTTTATGTATGTACTGCCCAAAGAGTTGGGCATTATTTCTTTAAGTGAATTTGTACAAAATTCGACATAATAATATATAGAAAAATTAATTAATATGTTCTATACTATATACAATATGTAATAAAGGCTACTCCATTACTCTTGCGTTCAAGTAATTTTCAGTCAAAGCTAAATATAGTGCATTTTGTTAAATTTCCAGTAGAAGCTGAATATGGTGTTTTTGAGGCCCTTAAATTGTTGCAAGCAAAATTAGGCAGTACTGCAATGACTTTACAATTTAAATTAAATGTTTTAGTTTTTTGTATTTCGTTACATGTCACTATGTTTGTATAAGTTAACTTCGGACATTTATTTCGTAGTTTTTGTATTAGACCCGACGTCCATTTGTTGGTAGGTCAATGAGGAATTATTAATAATAAAACTAAACAGAATTTTAGGCAATATCAACAATAAATGTTTGTAGTTTCTTTTACATTCAAGTCTCATTCCTGATACACTTATGCCTGGTTATTTGACATAATACTTACAAATTATATACTTGGTAATTTATTTATATAGTTTTTAAGTATTATAATAAAATAAACGGGCTTAGAAAGAAAGAAAGAAAATTAATTTCTTTTGTGGTAAACAAACTTTAAAAACATGCACGTAAAACATAAATAATTACAAAACAAAAACGAAACAAAAAGTACAAAAACAAATTTAAAACACAAACTATTCACTTAAATTAACAAGGACGCTAATATAAGATACTTTGTTTGGTGCCAGCCGCGGTAACAAAATACTTTCGTGCACAATAAAACAAAATTGATGTATGTATAAAATATTCAAAAATACCATATTTTAACAATTATAGGAAGTACGACAGCGACGTGCAAGAAGAGAACGACAACACTCGCAGCACTCAAAGTGAGACAAAACGCGATGACCCCATGGTCGATCTGTTCCCTGATGACGATCATGACGACAACCGAAACAACAAATGTGAGTTGATGTGTATCTCCAGATACTTCCAAGAATATCTCCAAATGGAAGTATCTTTATGAGAAGATTTTTTGGGTCTTCGTCATCAAAGCTCTTATGGAATAGGCCTTGCGTCTGGCGAGACTAGAGATGTAAATTGACAGCCAATTGCTATAAACATTATGGTCAAATAAGACGTAATATTTTCACATTCAATAATTGTGATTACTATAACTTATTTACATAACGTTCATTAAATAATCAATCATTACAGCTTTTAATAAAATTGTAAATGACGTTGTGTTTATTATAGTTAGCATTTTAACTATCTAGTTTTATTAACTTACTGTTCAAAAGCTCTAAAATAAACGTCTACAATCTGAACAGAATGTTGTTTACTGGAAAAGTTAATAATAATGGACCAAAATTGACAGAGCACATTGAGCAATTGACCGATTTGCTCGGTCAAGTTGCTCGGACACATAACGGTCACATTACATCTCTGGGCGAGACCTAAGAGTGGCGAAGAGGCCCGTAGTAGAGTAGTTAGATAATCTTTAAGTGACGTCTGCCAAAAATAACCTTTTAAGTCAATATAAAGTTTTATTTTTATGACATCAAGTGATGGGACGAAAAATTCATGAGCGTGGTTGTAAGCGACACGCTTACGCAGTGCCACTGACGAGTTTTAAATCGCAACGATCCAACAGGCACTGCAACTGTGCCCGTCACCCTTAGACATAAAATTGTCAAGTCCTCTATGCCTATAGTTTCACCAGGAACCTTAACTGTCAAAATCAGAGCGCAGGAATGGTCATGTTACTGCTTGGCGGCAGAACTAGAGATAGACGAACTCTTTCACAAAGAGCTCTACTGCTATTGAAATAGCTCCACTAATAATATGTAGCACAACATACACCTAATAGTATACAGGGTGTAATCGCTAAGTGTGTCCAAGCAATTATTCCATAAATATAAGAGATATCAGAGAACTTTAAACTGATATCGAAAGTACGTTATCTAATGAGTAAACCGACATCAATAACTTTTTTTAAATAAAACTAGAAATATCGAAAATGTTAACTTTAAACGCTCCCGTACATTTAATATGACATTCGTAGAGAAGCTTTAGTTTTCGTACTATAAGAGGTGACAACAAGTTAACAAAACTGCTATAAGTAAATTAATACAGCAATGTTTTAATTGAACAAATATACAATAGCATAGTCAATTATTTGGTCAAGTGGGAGTTGTCCATAAATATGAATAAAATTTATCAAATTTTTTTTAGTACTAATCGACTCACTTTCCATGTGTATTGCATTGTAGCGATGTCCCCGACACCGCCATCACAGTTCGCGCAGCAGGTCAACGCGGGCTACGAGATCCCAGCGCGCCTGCGCACGCTTCACAACCTCGTCATTCAGTACGCCTCGCAGGGACGATACGAGGTACCTCAATACAGCACAACCATCTCTTTTTATTTTGAATTTATTCACAGACAGTACAGTTGCCATTTTTCTATAAGTACGTACTGCTTTGAATGCTATGTAGCGCCTTAGCGGTGGTAGTATATGTAGTTGTAGAACGGATACTTCTCTAATGAGACCTCGACGGTACAAACCCTGTGTCGGTATGTACCTGTGACTATAACTTCATAGGGAAGTTATAATCACAGGAAGAATCCACTCTTGTGTATTCCGACGACAACGTCTAAGTATAGATGAACATTGTTTTAAAAATTCTTTATCTTATTGGGTTTTGTCTAGAACAGTCTCCGAAATATTTTGATGAAATGTTCATAGATCACAGAGGTTACTTACAATCTGTATTCCGATGTAATAAACACTACGTTCACTTGATTTCTGGACTATGTTCTGTTTTTATCGAATTCCTAGGTTTTCGCGATTGTTACACATAGGAAATGAAACCATTTTTCCGGATTTAAATCGCGTATATTTGTTTTTTCAAAAAAAGGTTTCCTTGGAAAAATAAATATACGCGAATTAAGTCTGGAAAAATAGTTTTATTTCCTTTGTTCTGTTTTTAATTATTGTTTTTTGTTTCTTAATTTTTAACCGACTTTAAAAAAAGGAGGAGGTTCTCAATTCGACTCTTTTTTTGTATGTATGTTATGCGATGCATTTGTTAACCGATTTTGATTCTTTTTTTATTTGGAAAGAGGGTACCTCAGGAGTGGTCCCATTTTAAAGAAAATATTCCACCTCTAAGGGTGGCAAAATAAGGGATGAATGACTTTTGAGGTTTTTTTTAGTACCCAGTACTGACATTATTCTCACAAAATTGATTTCTTTTTTTTTTTTTTTTTCGAACTTTGTTTTTTGTTTCTTCTTTTTCACAAAATTCAATAATTAACAAGAAAATCAAAAAAATATGAGTCAACAAATATGACTGTTATCAAAAATAACAGAAAACGGCCAAATAATAAAGTTGCGTAGAATTCATAGGAGGTATATTTTTTCTCGATATCTAAAATGATTTCGAATTTACTGACTGGGCTTAGTTTTCTTAAGAAATTGATTTCTAGGGTCGGTTACCCTGAAAGTTGGTTAGTCTTAAAATAATGATCGTATTAAGTTTCAGCGAGGTAACATTAAAATTAAAAAAACGTAATATAATATTATTTATTATATGTATGCTATGTTAATTTATTTAATTACGTTGTTAATGAGTGTAATTTTGTTTTTGTCAGGTGGCAGTGCCGCTATGCAAGCAAGCCCTAGAAGACCTGGAGAAGACCTCTGGCCACGACCACCCTGACGTCGCCACGATGCTCAACATTTTGGCACTAGTTTACAGGTAAGTTGAATCATCACTTGCTAGATAAGGGTGTCTTTAGATCGAAACAACCTGCAAGAGCTAAATATATCATTATCTTGGGTTTTGTCATCTAAATATGAATAAGCTGTGTTTAATAAGCCTTTTTAGTATAACTTTTTGTTTCACTATAGTCTTAAACCACGTGAATGGCAAATTTTGAATAACAATCGGAATCTTATTATCACTGAACACTAAATACTGTAGAAATGCTTAGTGAGTGTGGTACGTGTGCAAACAGTACCCGAAATACCACGTATTTGAGACAGTCTTACCATTTCCGCTTTGTATGTGGAAAAATGCATTTTGCTACTTTGGAGAGCCAAAATTAGAGTCGCACCTGTAATATTATCCGTGATGGTGTTTCATATCATCGTTAAGTTTTATTTCATTTTAATAAATTTTCCATTTTCTGTTTATCGTAATAGATTGTTGTTATAAGTAACAAAAATGAACCTTATGCTGCTGCAACATCGTCGACCTTTTTTTTGAGAACGTTAATAGGCCTTAATCGTTTGTCGTCATTTAGTCTTTCAGCTATCGCCGCTAGATGGCAGCACTATGAATGAAATTTCAATGTAAAATCAAAACGTTGTAACTAGCAAGAATTCTGTGGCCCTAATGAAAGGGGGTATAAATAAAAAAAAGCTTTAAAAGGAAACGCGAAAAACACTAACACTTAATATCATATCTGTATTTCGCGTCTCCTTGTAAAGTTGACTTTTTTACTTGTACCCCTTTTCACTACAGCCATAGAATTGGTATTGAACGTTTAATGATTTTGTTAACTGGATAAAGTTTAAATTACATTAGACTTCTCTTCGAAAGATCTAAGGGGGGCCAGATTATAAATAGCCCTAACAGCGTGTTTTTGCAAGATCGTTCTTTTTTATACCAGCCGTTGTACCCTAAAACATAATCCAGTAATTGAGATTTAATTAGCTTAAGATGGGTTATGAACCATATTGTTAATTTCAGGGATCAGAACAAATATAAAGAAGCTGCGAACCTGTTGAACGACGCACTGTCCATCCGCGAGAAGACACTGGGAGAAAACCATCCCGCTGTTGCTGCTACGCTGAATAACTTGGCTGTGTTGTATGGAAAGCGAGGTCAGTATTGGTGTTATTATTGTTAAAAAAAGATGAAAACAAACATAAAGAAAAAATCCAGCGGCCCGGCTGGATTCGAACCAGCGACTGTTTGCCAGACCGGGGCTGATTGTTCTCCCAATTCAACTACAGAACGAACAGCAGACTTTACGAACTTCTGCCCCCGTAGCATGGCTACGCGCATGGCTATAGCGCGCGCATTTCAATTTTATCGCGCGTGTCGCGACTATCATGCGTAGCCATGCTACGGGGGCTGCTGCTGATTCCTGGTTTGTTATTGTTGTGACTACTGTCGGACTACGGGTTTGTGTGACTGTACGGTCTTACTAAACCTCAGAAAAGTCTACTCCCGTTCTCTGTCCGACATTCGTCCGTGACAATTACTGTCAAGTAAGTAATACTCGACGAAATTAAAAGGTGCATGATGCGAACGTAGCTTCATACTTGACATTGTCTGAGCCTGGTATAAATAATAACACCTATTTGCCAAGTTTTATTAAGATCGGTTACCGGAAAGTGCGCGAAACCAGATTCATTCCCTATTTTGCCAACCTTAGATCTCGATGCAAACGCGCGACTGCATCTTTACAAACATGCGACTGCATCGATATGTTATGCTTATGTTGAATCATTAACTACGAAAAATCTTTATAGGTTTATGCACAATATTTTGTTTTGTTAATTGTGAATTTAAAAGCGAAATTAATAAATACATTAAATAAATAAATAAATTAGTTAATTAATTTAGAACGTGCATCAAGTTTGCATCGCGTTTGTATCGCGTTTGCATCGCGTTTGCATCGCTGCTGAAAGTCGCGCGCGTAAAGGTAGACTATTAGGGACTGCATCGCGTTTGCATCGCTGCTAAAACTCGCCGCGTGTAAACCACTCTTAGAGGTGGAATATTTTCTTCAATTTGAAATGGTACCAATACTGAGATACCCTCTTTCCAACAAACAATAACATTAAAATCGGTTCACAAATTAGCCGGATCGGTCGGAGTTATCGCGTAACATACATGCAAAAAAAAACAGTCGAATTAAGAACCTTCTCCTTTCTTTTAAGTCGGTTAAAAACGAAATAACACTTGCATCGCGATGAAACGTGACAGAGTAGCCGGGTACTTATTATAAGACGCTTGAAGGTAGTATTTACTTGTGCAGGCAAGTATCGCGAGGCGGAGCCGCTGTGCAAGCGAGCACTTTGCATCCGCGAGGCCGTGCTGGGCCGCGACCACCCCGACGTGGCCAAGCAACTCAACAATCTCGCGCTGCTCTGCCAGAACCAGGTACAGTGAAGTGAAATTTCTTTATTGCGAATGGCAATGCCTCAGGATCGACAAATTTTACTTGTCGAACCACGGAAGAATAAATTAAGTAGAAGTGCTTAGTTTGCATCACACGTGTGCCAACAGTTCGTGAAGTACCGCAAACTTGAGCTCAGTCCGCCATTTTCGCTTTGTATACGTTATGTCGCGCAAAACCTTGAAAACCGTAGAATAATACCTAATTTCGCTACTTTGGAGTGCGAAATTGATAGTCGTTCTTGTACTATTATCTTACTATATTTCAATAAATTTTCAATTTTCTGTTTATCGTAATCATTTTTTTGTTACAAGAAACGGAAGTAAACCTTATACCGCTGCAACTTAGTAAACATCCCAAATTCGTAGTCGTTCAGCTATTGACCGTTAGATGGCAGCACATTGATTGAAATTTGAATATTAAATAGTAAAGTTTAAATTATATTAACAGTCCAGATTTTGTTAATTTTTTTACAAATTTGATACTACGACCAATCATTACCAAGGTTTCATTGTGTTTCAAATTATGAATGTCTTAATTATAGATCTGAATGGCACTGCAACTATTATGGATAGGCGTGTCGCTTACCACCAGACGCACGACTTGTTCATTCCGTCACTTGGTTTTATAAAACAAAATATAGTTCACATGAAAATCAGAACGAAACAATAATAAAGTACGTAATTCTGATTTCAAATTATTATAAATGATCAAATTATTATAAATCTAATAATTATGCATAGAAACTTTTATTCGGGTGCATTGTGAAATCGGAAGATATTAAGAATATAGTTGTATTTTAGGATGACATCCTGAGTTAGTACCACCGCATTAACACCGGCCTGCCTGCTATTAACGCGAAGGAGCTCTTAATTTCTGGGTTAGAGGAACTTGAGTACTTTGGAACTTAAGTACGTAGTCATAATGCATGTATCATCCACCGATTCTTGAACCTGAGGCCCTGACCCCGGCCGATTGTGCCATTGTCAGGGAGTATAGCGTCCTGCAAGGAAATACATTTGTTACCTATTCTAGAACAAATATGAGGAGGTGGAGCAGTACTACCAGCGAGCGTTGGAGATCTACGAAAGCAAACTGGGCCCCGACGACCCCAACGTCGCCAAGACCAAGAACAACCTCGCTTCCTGCTACCTCAAACAGGTATTCGCTATTTCATACCGCTGGTCAGTCACCAACGCCACTAAAATAGGGTTCGTTAGACCCATTGACTTAAAATTATATGGACGTCGGGTCCGCGCTGAAAACTGTCCGAACTTATAGGGCGTTAAAATCGTATACAGAGCGTCATTCACGCTTTAGTCTTCGTTTGTTTCTTCTGACAGCGAAGCAAGCAAAATTAGACAGTACTGC